TTACCGAATACTTTTTCCCAGTCAGTGGCTTCCCTTTTTACCCTACTGGAGAAGTTTTTGGATGTGCATAGGGATTTGAGTCTTAGAAGATCCCATATGTCCAGCTTTTTGAGGAAGTGCCCAACTGCCTTCCAGAATGGTTGCACCATTTTACAATACCACCAACAATGTATAAAAGTTCCTTTCTTGCCACATCTTCTCCAACACCTACTACTGGCTGCCCTGTTAAATTTTGCCACTCTTACTGGGGGGAAAGGGTACCTTATTGTGGTTTTGATTTGTATCTCTCTTATTGCCAGTGATTTGGAACATTTCTTCATATGTCTGTTCTTTCTATGTTCTTTTACCCATTTTGTAACTTGGTTATTGGTCTTTTTCTTGTGGAGGCCAAGGAGTATTCTGTAAATTTTTGTTATAAGACTCTTGTCTGAGATGGTATTACCAAATACCAAATGTTTGTTCCCAGTCTGTAGGTTTTGTTTTCACCCTGTTGGAAAAAGTTTTTTATATGCATAGAGATTTAATCTTTAGAAGGTCCCATGCACTAATTTTATCCTTTTTTAGATTGAGCATTTCTGGTTATATTTGGCAGTCTCTTTATACCTTGGACTAGCACTTCTAAGCTTGATCCCAGTTTGTCTCTTAAGAATGTTATGGTTTTGGGCTTTACTCCCAGGTCTCTGATTCACTTTGAGTTGATTTTTGTGTATAGTGTGAGATGTGGATCTTGTTTCAGCTTTCTGCAGGTGAAGTCCAGTTTTGCCAGCACAATTTGTTAAAGAGGTTATCATTTCCCCATTTGATAGCTTTGATTTCCTTATCGAATATCAGTTGACCATAGATGTTGTTCTTGTTAGGTGCCATTGAATCGTAGACGAATCATAGCGACCCTCTGAACGAAAGACTTAAGCACTGTTCATAGAGTTTCCGGAGGCAAGCCATGTCGGAAGTGATGCCACTCCTTCTTCCAAGGTTTTTTAATTGGAAAGCTCCACCAAACACTGTCCACCATGGGTAACCATTATCACATTTGACACAGCAGTGTCACAGTGTTTAGCATCAAGCAACCTCTGTACAACAATGTACAGAGCAATGTTACCTCTGTACAGCAATGCACAGACCAGTGCTATACCACCTAGAGGAATGTTCAACAAGAAAAACAATTTGAACCAGGGCTGAGAGTCACAGATTAAAAATCACCAGCCTTGGGCTTGGTAGCGTAAATTTCTGTCCACTAAGCCAACCTAGCTTTATCTATGTTGACCATAGATAGCTAGGTCTATTTCTGGGTTCTCAAATCTGTTGCATCGGTCGATTGTACTAGTACCATGCTGTTTTGGTTACCACTACTGAATAGTTGGGTTTTTTTGTTTGGTTTTTTGTTTGTTTGTTGGTTTTGTTAGCTGCGCTGTTGGTTTGTTTTTGTTTTTGTTTTTGTTTTTGTTTTAAATTTAGGTTGTTTATTTTTCATTTCAATGAACATCTACAGAGATTTTGGAATTCCATTCATTCATTGTTTCACCCTTCTCCCCGCATAAACCCCTCCCCCCCATTTGCTCCTCTCCTTGAAAAGCAAAAGAAAAACTCCCTCATTGGTACACAATCCCCCCCCGCAACTCCCCAAACCCCACCC